CATTTGTGGGATCCAAAGAGGTTTATCTCAATTTTGGCGGCAAATGACTGCGTATATCGGATGAGATCGGAATAGGAAATTAAGTGATTGGACAATATATTGGATATTTGGACGGATATCGGCAAAAAGTTAACTCGTTCTAAAACACTTCCCTGGGCCTTTAAAATGAAAGGATGAATGAACGAGCTAGTCACCTTAAAATGGAGAAAATATAGCGCAAAATGACATAACAAGTGATAGGTACCGTTACTGTAACATAGTAAAGGATTTTAGTAGAGATGTTCGATAATATCGGCCAACTGATATTAGCAGCAGATATTAGCTACTGGTTGATATTAAAATTAAAAAATTAAGCGTTTGGACAATATTCGGCATATTGGATATCGGCAAAAAGTTAACATCAAACAGCTCTAGTTTTTAGCCTATACATTAGTGCTACCTATAATTTTGAAATACACATTAATTACAAAACCAACACTTCATGCCTGAACTTACAGTAGATCAAGAGAATCGTACAGAGATCAGTGCATTTTCCAGAAGAAATGTTTACGTGTTTGTTACTTTTCTATTTCACATTATTGTTTCTGAGTTAGCTCAAACAAAAAAGATCACCTGTGGTTACTTCAGGATAAAGTGATATCACCGAGATCACCAAAGGTTCTCCCTTGCGGGGGATGACGAAGAGCTGTGCAAAATCAATCCAGTGATTGTGGAGTTATTTCAGCTCACTTCAAAGTAGTGAACCAAGCAACCGTGAAATTATGATAATATATGCTCTTTTTGGTCGGATTGCTTCAGGGAATATCTGTAATGTCACGAAGTGAAGTGTTCAAATCACAGACAGAGCTGGGAGTGACTCAGAGGAGACAGAAACACTGACAGGGTCAGTGTTGTCTCTAGAAGGACGTTTGACTTTCAAATACTGCTGATACCATCAGGCCGACACCGAAAAGGAAGTGAAAAACTTGAAAAGACACTGTAGGTCAAAGTGTCCCCGAACTCGTGTCGGTGCTGTAATTGCTTCTCGCGAATTAAATGTCTCTTTTTTTATTTTAATAAAACTAAGGTTAGCTCCGTTTTACAAACCCTTACACAAACATATTGTCTTAGCTGACATCAGTGACAGTTATACGATTATTTGGACCAGAACAACGGAGCAGCTGCAGGGAATCACAATCAGTCTTTTCTATTATATTGAGGTCAGCCTCTGTTTTTCGTCTCTCTGCCCACGGAGAGTAACTCTTCCGCTTCACCGAGTCCATTTTCTCATGTTCCTCCGCTGCCCCATTGGTCCTCTGGTCCACTGTTGAGACACGCTGCTCGTCTTGTTGAAGGCTGTCACTTTATCACACTTGTTATCTGCTGTTTTGGATCCTGAAGTTCTTGTTTCTGTCAGCGGCGTTAGTTCACAGTTTGTCTTGTTTCTGTCAGCGGCGTTAGTTCAAAGCAGTAGACAGAAGGAAAAAATGTAAATATATTTGTTGTTTGGTTGTTTATTGAGCCTTAATAAGCCTTAAATTAGTTACCACGACCATGCTTGTTTATTGAGCCTTAATAAGCCTTAACTTCAACTTTTTTTTCCCCACTATAAAAGTCTTTATAAAACTTTTAGTTTCTTGTGTGCGACTGAAGCTGTTGTAAAACATTTTAACTGCAGATGCACTAAAATGAAAATTTTTGGCCGGATCTGAAAAACTAAATCTGATGAAACACTCGGCTGTAAACTGAAAACAAATAAATAAATAAGTAAAATGGAGAATGTGCAAAATTATGCAAATTCTTGTAACATTGTTGTCGTGGCTGAGACCGTGTGTAGCTCAAGGCGTCACACGCAGTAGCATACATTAATGTCTGCGCTTGAAAGAATAGATCAATAGAACTATGAAAATATTTATTCAGCCACTTCAGTTTGTGCACATTTCTTTATTCCCACAATCGAGTCTTCTTTACAACGTAACGCAGATCACATTAAGATGACGTTCAGGGTGTTGGCTGTGGCTACTGCTAATGACAACACAGCACATGTTTTGTCTTCTTGTCGTAAACCAAATGGCCATTTTTTGGCCATTTTAGTCTGTAAATACGTTAAATTTTAACAGCTCACAGTTAGCTAGATTAGCTAATGCACAGCCCCGATGTGTCAGTGTGAACGGTTGTTTGTCTCTATATGTGACTCTGCAAACTGTCCAAGGCCGTCACCTACAACCCTGAAAAGGAATAATCAAAGGCCAATGAATGAGTAAACAGAAACATTTGAAGAACACACTCATAACTCCAATATCACAGTAGAAAAGCTAAAATGGTAGCATAGATGCTAAGAGTACTAGCTTGTACTAGCCAAGAAGTAGTAGGAATTGTGTGTAGAAAAACATACTGGAGACTTAGTTTACTGCTATGAATGTCCATATGTAGCGGTTAGCTTGAGAGCAGAGAATCCTGGGTTTTGATTCCTAGAGGAATCACATACTCCTAATGGCGCCCCCTGTCTGGCATCCTGTGTTGGTGCAAAAACTCAAGAATTAAGATAAGCCAGCTCAGATATTTTTATATGCTGCGTTTTTTGTGTGTTTATTATTATAATTTAAAACAATAATAATAATTTGCTTTTTTTTTAGCAATCACTAGACGTTGAAGGTGACCCTACGTGGGGTCGTGACCTTAAGGTTGTAAAACATCATGGTAGCTTGTCAGCCACAATTACATCAGCAGTTTATGTAAAAAAAAAACAAACAAAAAACAAAAAAACAAATGTTAAATAATTCTTGTACACACGTGCTTTGATTTTCTTGAAAAGCTAAAAATGTAAATGTGTAGTTTATCGTGTTATAGGTGATAAAGGTAATCTGTTTAACCAATACCTGTTCATAACAGAACCAGGCATCACACACCGAGTTACTCTGTCAGCTGTGTTCTGACAGTGATGGTTTAGTGTAACTTCTTTGTCTGCTTCTTTTTTTTTTACTTTTTGGGAAAGACCAAAGTGTAACAATTGGCAGAATGCCCCTTTAATCAACAGCTGGGAGGAAGCTGGTGGCGGTGGGTTGTTAAATTCCTCGGAGACGAGTCAGGACAGGAACCGCACGTCAGATCAGTTACCTGTGTATGTCATTAGGTTCCAGGTTGATATGATTTTGTGATGAAAAACGCACCTGGCTTGATAACAGTGTTTAATTTACCACAGAAAACCGGTCCCTTTATTATGTAACTGCCGTCTATTAAACAAACTCAGTGTTTTTCTATAAATAACAAAAGAAAACAGTATAAGGCCTTTCTGATTTAAAGTCCGGCATTTTGTAGACGATAAAAATAAATCATTCCCTAAATGTTTACACCCTAATATCTTTATAAACTCAGCAGGGACTGGGAACCAATATGCAGGACTTGTACGGTTCATGTGGACGACAGTAACTTCCAATTTCTAATCGATGCTTTCATTATTTTTAATGAAAACGGAGTAGTGTGGGCACAGCTCATGGACTTCTTTTTTTTTTTAATCACGTCACCCTCTCTCTCTCTCTCTTTCTGCTTCCTCGAGAGACTTCAACGATTGGCCTCGGGGGTAGAGTTACAGAGGGGGAGGGGGTAGAGAGACATATACAAAGAAAAGGAGAGAGAGAGAGAGAGAAGGGGGAATAGATTAGAAACGGGGAGAGAGAGAGAGAGAGAGAGAGGGAGAGGGAGAGAGGGAGAAAGGGAGAGAGAGAGAGAGAGGTAGAGTGGGGTTGACTCAGAGTGCACTAAGGTGGAATTAGTGTGTAGTGGAGGAGCAGCAGCAGCAGGAGCAAGAGCTGGAGCGGCAACGGCAATTGTAGCTTAAGCTAAAGCTAACTGAGCCATGTTCCTGCTGCTGGAGCTGAAGCTGCTGCTGTTGTGTGTCTGTTAGCGGGCCGCCCTGGACTCCCTATCCGCCCTGAGGTGCATCATGCCCGGCTGGAAGAAGAACATCCCGGCCTGTCTCCAACCGGACGAGGAAGGAGGTAAGACCAAGATTGGACCTGAATAAGGACCAGGAATCCGGGGCTAGGACCGCGACCGGCGTTTGAACGTGTCAGTGCGCGTGTGTGTGTGTTTTTTTTCTCGCTTTGGCGCCGCGGGTTACGGAGCTCGTGCCTCATATAAACCGAGTGAAAGTTAGAAACTGATACCGCGAGAATGCGCACGCGTGCGTGCTTGTGGACGCGCGTTAAATTGACGCCAGAGGTTGAGGTTTAAGTGACGCGACTGTGATTTATACATATATTTGATTTACGACATGTCTCTCTCTCTCTCTTTCGCTCTCTTTGTGTGTGTTGAACGTGTTTCTCTCATTGCTCTCGGTGACCGGTGTTGTCCAGCACCATTAGCCGGGCAGCTATCAGGCTAACTAACGGTTAAATGGAAGAACAGCCGAGGGTCTGCCCTTGTGTGTGTGTGTGTGTGTGTGTGTGTGTGTGTGTGTTTGCGTGCTTGACATCGCCGTTCTTACTAAACCATGGCAGGTTACTGTCCCTTTTTTTAATAGTCTGGAATCATTCATGTCCTTCACATGTGTGTTACAATCACTAACCATGTCATTATTCTAATTTTCTCCCCCTCTTAACCAGTTTTGGTTACGTTGACATCACAGTCCACGGTAATCACAGTGGTTTGTGTCTGATTCAGTTGAGATAATAATGTTCATATTCACTACCACACGTGTCCTGCATCCGAGTCTGTTATATTCCATATTGTGTAACCCGTGCGAAAAGACAGTTATGTACAGTAGATCCCCGACTTCCCCTGGAGGTGGTGCTATAAACAAGGTTGAAATGACACCATGGATAAAGTCTTTATATATAAATATACAGTGTGTCTACACATATTTTTTGGTCTTCCTTTTAATAAATTGAATTCAAAATATAGAAAGAACACAGAAGGAGGATATTGACGTGTGTTGAATGAATGAAAATGTGATTGGTCCATCCCTGTGATTGATACTTTACTGACCCTAAAAGGAGCCTGGTCATGTGGGATGGTCAGCAATGTTCACCCTGATCCTGATGATCTGTCAACATCAGTGACTTTCGCTGGATTGTCCCGTTAGATCCCAGCAACAGGTTCACGGCCTTACACTTAATTAACTCAACACACGTCACTACAGTCAAAAATAGGTTGGTTTAAAAAAAACCAAAAAAAAAAACCCAAACAAACAGACAGCCGAGAGCTGCAGTAAACATCTGCTCTCCGATTTGCCTCAAAGGTAGAGACTAGTTGATCTGTGACAGCCATTTGAATGCATAATGGAAGTGCCTCACCTGAGCACCTGCCGTAGCAGGTTTATTAATAGCAGAGCTTTGAGTGCATGGTCAGCTAACATATGCTGAAATCTGCTGCAGAACAAAGTTTAAATGAACAGGACCCGACATTGCGCGACAATAAGATTTATTCCGCTACCAATTTTTGCCGCCTATTCTTGTTATTGTTTAGTGGAAGGGAAACGCATTTAAAAAAAGAAAAAGACACGCGTAACTAGGCGTAAACGCGAAAATTAAGAAATGCGTTATCTGCACCTACATATCAATGTATTTTGTTTTTCTTTTTCTTTTTTCCAAAATTCATTTTTAATCGCCACTGCTTTCATTAGTTTAAATCCATCGTTTTTTTCGGACATTGCCTTTTGAAATTCTTGTGCCTAAGATTGTATAGACCAGGGGTGTCAAACATACCGTCCGTGGGCCAAAACCATTCCACCAGGGGGTTCAATCCGGCCAACCTGATACATTTTGAATTTTTTGCTGGAAGGAACATAAGAGATTGTAATTTTGTAATATCTTATTTTACTCGTAATAGACATTACAATTGCGTCGTCTTTGTTGTGAGTCAGTGATGTGTGGTCCGATCAAGCAAATTAAACCATGTCTCATCTCACACCGAAGCTGCAGGTCGCAGAGCTGATCCTGTACTTTTGCGATCCCTCACAGAGCTGCAAACCAAATAACGCAATGAGAACCAGTGCTTCAAAGAAACCTGCATTTGTATTTTGGTTGTAGGCAGGTGTTTCTAGAGTCAATGCCACGTTGGCTGTAAGCTTCAGTTCTAATCTTTGGTTTCTGTGAATCTTTTTTTAAGCTGTCTGTGTTTTTCTTGTGAATAATCAGGGCAGTGCTTCTCACCGTTGTTGCTGCTGATCAGGCACGTTTTAGTCAGACGCTAATCAATCACTGGAACATAACTGATAATAAATCCTGCTAATGCTGGTATAAAAACAGCCCCGATGTTGGCTGGTTGTTTTAAAATCCTGCTCTAGCTCAACACTTTGTCTCTTTAGCTCCTCGGCATGCTGCCACTTCAATCCTGGAGGGCAGCCGCATGACCAGAATCCATTTACACGTTGATTAATATTGTTATTGAAAGCTTAAACACAGAAATAAGACGCAGATCGATTGTAGTAACCGGAGAACCGTAGCATATAAATATTTAGCCGCTCATAAAATAAATAAATACAATTTAAACAGCTATGCCCTTTTTATGGTTTAGGCTAAATCATTTTTAAAACATTTTATTGGTAGATTTTATCAATAAAGTCAAATAAAAAAAAAATCAGTGGAGAAAGTAAGTTTAGTTACATATGGGGTTACAACCTTTTAATGTACGATACTGATACTACGACTTGGAGTACATGCGATACCGATTTCAATCCGATCAAATCGATTGTTTTCTTCTCTGGCATGAGGGGCGCCTGTTTACGACATGTTGCGCAAAGTTAAGTTGAGCATTGAGCTTAGATATCTGATTGGAAGAGCTATAGTTTTTTTCAATGTCAAAACATATGGCCCACGGTTGAGCTTAGATATCTGATTGGATGAGCTATAGTTTTATTTCAATGTCAAAACATATGGCCCACGGGCCAAAACCGGCCCAATTGGGGGTTTTAATCTGGTCCGCTTGATGAATTTTGAAAATAAAAAAAAAAACACTTCAAGGTCAAGAAAGTTTTTTAAAATTATATTTCATTAGAAAATACTATGGAAACAAAGAGAAAAAACAGTATGATTTATAATAATTATTATGTTATGATTGTACTGGTCCGGCCCACCTGACATCTAATCTCTGGTCACTGTGGTAAATCTAAACATTTGAATTTTTAAACTCAAAAGTCCCCAACATTTGCTCTACTGCTGGAGATATCAGTGAGTCAACAGCTGCCGTTAACTCTGTGGGGGGAAAAAATGATGATTTCGCCGTGGACTTTGCTGTGGGAGAGTAAGTATAGACACGCGCTGGAGTAGAATTTATTAGCTACGCCTTCAGTTAAGGGTTTAAAATAGTTGGTTCCCGCGAGCCACTGTCACTCGTGCGTTTACGCTCAAAGATAATCTGTTGGACCTCCCTGTGTCCAGTGTACATGAATTACACTTGACGTTCCGTCTCCATCCATAATCACCTCACATTAGATTTCACATCTGATTTCATTTCTTTGTCAGGTTCCCCAACAATCCTTCCTTCTGTTTACAAATAAAACGTCAGCCGTATGTGAAGTGAATGTTCCAACTTTAAAAAAAGACTTGTCATCGTCTAGTTGAACTACTCCTGTACGATGTTATCCTGCCTTCACGTGGTGTCGGATTCAACAAAGCCAATTTTAGCTCAACATTTTAAGAGGTTTGAACTGCACACGCCTGTCGCCTGAAAGACGCCTCATTCAGATGAAAATCCGAGACGCAGCTGCTGCAAAAAAATGTTTACGTCCTCAGACACAGGCTTCTGTTTTGTTTTGCACGGACGTCGGATAAATTTGTGGCAGAGGCAGTGTGTAGAAATTGAACCTTGGAGGTATAATATGAGGTGAAAGGATTAATTGCACCTTTTTGGATAAATGCAAAGATTTAAATCTATTCATAGTGAGAACTGAGGAAATGTGTGTCACAGAACATTGAGTATTGTTACAACATAAATGCTAAGTGTTAAAATCCATTCATGCCTGCACTCGTGTTCTGTTCTGTGCAGTGAACTATGCTAGGTTCTGTAAAGTTTGTGACTAGTAGAGCTCTACTGGTCGTATTTGTTGATGTTTCACTGGGTGTTCCCGCGACAGTCATGCTGGGTTTAATTAACACTGTTATATTAGACCCTCACTGTGCTATAGTGTCACACGGCAGTTGTTACTTCATGTGACCAATTACCACAATAAAAAAAAATCTATTAAAATTTGTCCCAAAATGGAAATAGAAAGTGATCATCTTCAGTCTGCAATCCACCCTGGCTGCCACAGGAGGCGCCATTATATATTTGTTTGCAACTTACAGACTGCTACGTGGTTAAGTATGTGGTTCCTCTGGGACTCGAACCCAGCACCTTCTGCATGTAAGGCAGCTCTTATAACCGCTATCGCTATAGAACCACACGAATAGCAAATTATATCAATAGCAATTAAAAGATGGCCAGACTGCTGCTGGCAGAACCCTAGATACCACACGGAAGAACGACCGTGTTTGGTCGTCCAGGCGGCCGCGCGACCTTGACCACTCCCCTTCGGCTTTGTTGTTTTATTTGTTTGCTGCTCTCTGTGTTCTCGTTCGTAAATGTCACTGACTTCACAGATTGTAGGAGGCGGAGCAGAAATTAAACATTTATGACTTTCTGTTGGGAGGTCATACGATTGCACCGTTGGATTATACGAGAGTCATGTTCCAAATGCACTCTCTGTTGTGGGCAGCACCGTAGCATGTGTTAGTGCAAGAGATTTACGTGTCATTTTTTTCAACCAAAGACCAGCTGACCAGAGGACAGCTCGGTGTTTGAACAAACCGGTCAGGCTGGATGTTTACTCTCCGTCCGCCATGTCACATGTCTGTGAGTCCGTCTGTAGCATAAAGGATTCAGCATCTGAGTAAGGACGCACAAATGGTGCATTATGTTAAGGAATCCCTCTCAGCCGACGGTGAATGTGCCATAATCAGGAACAGAGGGTTTTTGATTGCGTCTCCTGCGGTTTTCCTTAGACTTGTACTGAAAAATG